GTGTATTGCTAATAATGGAGATGTTGGTTGCTGATCGGTTCTTGGCGGATTTGGATAGTTGGTTGGATCCTGAGGTGTACTTGGTGGGAACCAAAGTGGATTTGGGTTTGGAAGGTGGCAGAAGGATTCGGTCTTGTTCCTGGAAGGAAGGGATGGATCGAGGCATTGTTGATTGTGCAAGGGGGGAAAGCTTGTCGAGTGTGTGCTGATGGAGGCATGGCATAGTAATGGTTCGTTTCTCCCAGTCGATATATGGGTTGTGTGAGCGGAGCCAGTCCATGCCAAGAATAATGGCATAATTGCCAAGTGCAATGAGTTGAAAAGTGTGTGTGGAAAAGTGTTGTGAGTGGGATTGCATAACCAATGTGGTGGCGTGATGAGAGGTATGTGTTGAACCATTGGCAAGAGAGATTTGTAATAAGTGTTGTGCTAGTGGAAGATTGTGCTGTTGTGCTAGATTTTGATGAATGAATGAGATGGTTGCTCCTGAGTCGATCATTGCATGGACTGGTAGTGAGGAGTTTTGGAAGTGAAGAGTAATTGGAATAGTAATAGGGGATAGCAGAGGATCATTTGGAGATTTGTTATACAGCTCGCCCAGACACACTCCAACTTTACTGTCTAGGCTGAATCTTTTTCCAATTGGAAAGAGATTGCATCGGGCTGGTCGCTAGTCTGTGTAGGCTGAAGGGCCGAGATCGAGGCTGTTGCCTTTGGGGCGTTCTTGAACGAGGGCTTTGCAGGTTTCTTGGGGCAGTCGTCAAGCCAATGATCTGCTGAACCACAGTAGGTGCACAGTCCTTCCTTTTGACGACGAAGACGCTCAGACGGTGGCAAAGGACCATGGCGAGCATGCGAGAGATCCATGTCCATCGAAGTGGTCGCGGGAGCTGAGGTAGCAGGGGTGGACGCGGTAGTTGGGGTGGATGAGGCTTGAGTGGTAGTAGAAGTGTGGGCAGTGGTGGAACGGGACGGAGTGCTGGAAGATTTGTTGCCGGAACGGGTCACTGCATAGCCGTACTGTCGGTTGTCGATGTCGATAGCCAATTGTGAAAACTCGGCAAAGGTAGGTGGCTCGGGGTAGTTTGCCATGGCTTCTTGAACAGACTCCTTCAGGCCGAGGCGGAACTGTGAAATCATTGCGCTATCATTCCATGCTGTATCCGCTGCAAGGTTGACGAAACGGTTTGTATAGTCGATGGCAGAACCGCGCTGTCTAAGTTGACGGAGTTGGGTTTCTGCTAGGACGTGAGCATTGGAGACTCCAAAGTTCTTACTCATAAGAGCAAAGAACTGATCCAGGTTAGAAATACATGCGGGTCTCTCCTCGACAGGCAACTTGAAGGACGGAACGTATCTCTGCATGTACTTGAACGCTGCAGTATCACCGAGGCGCGAGATAGCCAGCACAATGCGGTCGTGGTCGTTCGGATAGAGGGTCTCGTTTGCAACGAAGAAGAGTTCCAGCTGAGCCTGAAACCCTTTCCAATCTTCACGCTTGCCGGAGAAGACTGCGGGGGGTGCTACTTTTGGCCTCGAAGGGGAGCTATTGCTGGAGTGAGGTGTAGTTGATTGGAAGATGGCACTCACTGTGTTGGTGACATCGGTCTTGTGATCATAAAATAGTTTGCCTAGTTCTGCGCGAGTGATGGGTGGTAATTGTGACGTCATCTTCTGGACGTTGGATTCGAGGCTGAGTAATCGAGGGTTGAGGTTGACGGTCAGGCTTGTGAAGAAATCTTCGTTCGAAAGAATGAAGTCCAGCATATCACGGTACTTCTGAACAGTCTCCTCGAGTTCGGTGACTTTGGCTTGCAAGGGAGTGACCGTCTGAACTATTTGTTCAAGTGTGGCTACTCGGTCCATCAGTGCTTGGAAGCGCGCGTTGGCTGTAAGGATCTCACTATCGGGTAGCATTGTAGTTGATACGGAAAGTGAAGAGTTGTTGTAGTTTCTGAGGGTTGTGGGTTGTGTACGGAAGATGGTAGTAAAAGAGGAAAGAACTTGAAGAAGATAGGGTTTGGTTTTGTTGTGGAAAAGGCTTTTTTTTTTTTTTTTTTTTTTTTGAGCGCTGAAGTATATCAATAGAAAACAGACAAAGTTTGATCCAAGGTTCTTTAGGTGTATGACTTGGTATTGTCAAGAAAGCAGACCAAGCAATAGAATGAAGTAGATAAAGAGAACCTTGATCAAGGACTAAGAAATGAGTATAAGGAATAGGTTAAAGAGTATGTTGTATTGGCGATACCAAGTAAAGAGCTATAGATTTGCTATCTAAGGCCTTTTTATACTCGTTAGGGCGAAGTCACAAGAGCAAGCTCTTGTCTCGTGACACCGGCCGCCACAATGGTATACTCTTCATCGGGCGTTAGAATTCGGTCGGCTGCAGTATACATCGAAACATGAATAGTTTTCAGATGTAACACATTTGTGTCTACTGTATCTTCATCATATTCGAAGATATCTGCAAGTGGGGCACTATACCTGTTATGAACACGCTTTGGCCAGGCAATAGAGATGTTGTCAACTTCCACAATTCCAACTTTGCTAAATTTACGAATGACGTTAGAAGATGCATCCCTCGAAGGAAACATTCCTTTTTGCGAGCCAGCAACTAGTGTGATGGCAGTACATCCAGACTCGCGCTTAAATGTCCTTATTTCGCCCAAAATAACTTTCTCTTTCCCATTTACCTCTTCTACATGTCCTTCCACAAAGTATATAGGTCTATCGTTAAAGGAATAGTTAGCCAGCAAAAGTGTAATAAGCTCGGGGTTCTTAAAGTTTTGCCACATATATCCATACTTCTTAGAGGTTACCGAATTCCACCAGTGACAATAAGCAAACAGTTTCTCATGTGGAAAATGTACAGCCACCATCGAGGTAATGCATTTTGCACGTTCCTCCCACTGCATCTCAAAGGAACATTTAAATGTTTTACATTTCTTCAAGAGATTCTTTGTCTTGTCCATTTCGTCTTGATATGACTGAAGAGATCTCAAAGATGAACCTTCAAACGTCAGCTCGATACGACTATAACCATGCTTTTTATATTTTTTAACTCGTCGTCCAAATGCTGTTTCTTTCTCCACCAAATCCTCCAAACGTGAACCAAGGCTCTTTCGCACCTCGGCACTTTCCAAAATCTGGACAAATTTGTTATACACCTTATATCGGATATTCTTTGTATCCCCTTTTCGACCTCTCCATGAAATACAATGATGTCCTACTCTTCCCACATCATCGACAATTTTTGTAGTTTTCGTTTGTTTTAGCAATCTCTCCACGTGCAGTCGTGTGGTAATACGCGTACAATCATAGGCAAAGTCTATGTCATGTAAAGCAACGCCGCTCTCGTTCAAGCTAGACAACATGTTCGCCAAAATTGGCACAACAACCTTTGCGCGGGAAAAATCTAAAGAAACCTTGATGGCAATAAAACCCTGTTGGTATTCTTTTCCAACAAACAACTTTCTATGGCGTTTGACCATGCGCGGAGAAAAATAGTTATCATCCATTTTAACCTGCCTAGCATCGACCAACTTTACAGATTCCACAATTAAATCGGTGTGGTTAAATGCATCGCGCAGTTCAGCAATGTATTTTCCAATTGCTGTACCTTTAGTGGTATCGTCAGCAAAGTTATATATACCCCAAAAGATGATGGAATCGCAAAAGAGTTTGGAGAATTTGGTGAATCCTTTTCTCTCCACACTGCCAAATGGTGCTGACTGTAGATTACCCACATTTGACAGCAAGTGGGAAACTTCGTTGATGGCTTTGTTTATCAGAGATTCTTTTGTTGGCGACATAATAAAAGGTATACTTAGGTTTTAAAAAGTCTATAATTTAGGTCGTCATTTTTTTCTAAGCATATATTCACCAGCGTCTTTCTCGGTAAGTAATCCATCTGCACGTATTTTGTCACGTAGGAGTTGATAAGACGCCTCTAATAACTTTTTTATGCCGTTAGTGCCAAATATAGTGGCATCTTGTGGAAAGAGGTTACGATGATAATCTAAAAATTCATCCAAATAGACAAACATACACAATTCCAGATTCTTCTCATAAATAAAATCTGCAACAACTTCCTGCTGGCGTGCTTTGGTTAAACGTGTAGGCCTGGGCATGATATATTTGCGGCGATAAGACGTCCAGATGCTCACCCCGCTATGTACTTATTTGTCAATTACTCCCTTGAATAGATACAACTTGACATCTATATTAGATATTGTTGTGTATACCCTCAAACACAAACATTGAGAGAAATATTCCCGGGAAAAAACGTGGTATATCAAGTATCAAGAGATCACCATTCCGCCTAATATGCCAAAAAGGATTTGCAACAGGTGTGACAAAAAGAAGCCTCCATATGATTTCTATGCGGCCCCTTCATGTGCAGAGGATATAAAAAGGCATATAAAAAATATCCAAAGTCCAAGGAACGGAGTGTTGACTTCCATAACTGGCATATCTCTTCATAGTGGGCAACAGAACACAGAATAAAATAGCAATAGACAGCACAAGAATTTTTAAAATGTAATCTCTCCCCTGTATTTCACGACAAAGATACAGTTGAGAGTACAAGTGCTTTAGATGATCACATACAAGAACTACTCTGTCGAATCTTGCAGTGAGGGTTACAGTTTAATAGTAGATGAACACATTCAAGAGTTTGGTGTGCGAAAAATAAGAAGACTTTGTTGTTTGGAGAATAGGTTGGTGTTTAGTAGGATAGTTAAACAAAAAATGTTACAATGGTTGTCTTATATGCTTGGTATCATATATACATTCTCCTCTAATGGACGCGGTGGATATCGTTAAGATCTGCAGAGATGTAACAAACACCATATGATAATTTGGACTTGAAAGGCCTCCTAGGTGGAAGTGTCGAAGACATGTTACATTTTTAAAAAGTTCATGCTATATATACAACCACAAATGCCAACTGTTGACAATTGGATAGTTTTTAAATATCTACTCTTCATCTGTCTCAACAACTACCAAAACTTTACATCTGGAGAGTACAATTTAGGCAATTCCTCGATCGTGAACCCCATGGCAATTAACTTCTGCTTTTGTTTGTTGTTGGTAAATTTGTCTCGACTATAGTTACTGTCACCGTTTGCAGGTATCTTATACAGCAGTCCAACAATAATGTCCTCTTCGTACCTCTTGAGCAGATGACATCCGTCGAAAAGGTAGTTGGTTGCATATTCATGCTTCTTGTCAAACGAACATGTTGTCCATTTAATTTCGTCTTTATCTATGACGATTATACCCGAGGAGCTTTTATCTTTAGGGTACCTTTTCCACATAACATCCTCAGCATCTTTATCATCCTCAGCATCTTTATCATCTTCAGCATCGTTATCACCCTCAGCATCTTTGTCATCCTCAGCATCGTTATCACCCTCAGCATCTTTGTCATCTTCAGCATCTTTATCACCCACCGCATCTTTGTCATCCTCAGCATCTTTATCGCCCTCAGCATCTTTATCGCCCTCAGCATCTTTATCATCCTCACATGTGCTCTCATCTTTCTGTGGCAAGCTTTGCTTATGCTCATGCGGTTTAAATCCCATAGCAAACAACTTCTCTTTTTCCTTCTGGCTAAGAGAATGACACTCTACATTCTCTGCAGCAATATGGTCATCAGTCATCAAGCCGATTACAGTGTCTTTTTTGCGCATCTTGAGAATGTGCATTCCATTTACAAGTACATTCTCGGAATATTCCAAGTACTTGTTAAGTTTTTTCCATATCACCTTGGATTTATCTGTTGGTCCTTCTACTGGTACTTCTTCTTCTACTTCGATCTCCTCGTTGAAAAGCGTCTTTCTCTCTTCATCAGACAATGGTTGAAGTTTCATCTTGCTAAGCATGGAGCGTTCCAAGATATCCAACTCTGGAACATCACCGACACCGCGCAGAGCATCAAGCGTAAACAGGCCAACGTATGTATTCTTTCCAGATAGCCTGACAATGTACTTGCCATTCATCGTAAACTTAGTTGCATACTCAAGCATGTCGTTATTAGGATGAATCATCCATCCTCTGTCCTTCGCACGTGCTATGTCTTTCTCTGATCTAATGTTATGCACCGTTGTGGCCAGTGCAAATGTATGTTCATCTTTTCCATCCTTAGAAACGTCTACATTAGAAGATGGCTCTGCATTTTTGGGCATCTTTGAAGGCCTTTTCTTTCGAAGAGTCTTCTTCTTATCATCAGCAGAAGACTCTTCTATTTTTTCTACATCTGCAGGAGTTGCCTCTTGGAGTCCCATCTTTTGTAATATACGTGCCTCTTTTTCAGATATTTCCGGTACAGGAAGATTTTTGCCCATGAGCTCAGGTGGACACAATACAATGTAGAGATCCTTTTCCTTCAGCTTAATAATGTACTTGCCATTTACAGTAAAGTTCTTTGCATACAGAAAAGCTGGATTAGTTGCATAACGCATCCATATGCCTGTATTAGCGAGTGGTACATTTTTCTTGGACGTTATGTCAACTACCTTTGGACTCAACGGAAAGGAGACGGCAATTTTATCTTCTTCATCATCATCGTCGGACGGCTCTTCATCCTCGGAAGTCATATCGTCATCAGATGATACAAACTTAGAAGTATGTGTCTTCTTTAAAGCCTTGGAAGACTTGGGACGCGTAACGACAGGTGCATTCTTGTTACCACGTTTTATATGACCTCTATCTTGATCTTGATGACGCCCACAGTATGTTTGACCAATTTTGGCTACACTACCACAATTAGCGCCCTTAATGGTTGTGCCTTGACACTTGCGCGCAGGATCGTGGACATAACAATGCATGCCTTCATCGTCAACTTCCTTCATGCATTTACGCTTGGACTTGACGCACTTTGCTCCACAAAAGTAGTATCTCTCTACTTCCTTATCCCCATCAAGCGCCTTAAAGATCTTATTTGCATCTTTCTTGGTAAACTCCACTCCCTTCTTAGAAGAAAATGTCTCGAAGGCCTTGGTGATGAGCTCGATTGTAAGCTGAACGTACTGCATCTTTTTGGATATGAACGATATAGATTGTACTTGTGGTATGGTGGGTGTGAATGACTTTTCAGTTTATTTGTGGTAGATTGCAGCTGCTTAGTACACTGATATAAAGAATTGCAATAAAAGATGGTTGTATAGGTATGGATGGTTGTATAGATATGGATAATGGTTGGTTGGTTACTAGATAAGATAAAGATTAAGCAAGAGGGAAGTGGAGTCCTTTATTTATACTAATTCATGGGACACTGCCACATTGGATATTAATAGCGCTTGCTTATTAACACTGCTTGGCGCTTAGTAACAAAAGAGTTTTAAAAAGGCATCTAAGTGGTTAATAACGTAGTGTTCCTCGCATGACGTAGATCTTGCTTATTAAGACTGCTTGGCGTTAAAGACGGGGTTTAAAAATGGTTAAGAATGTAGTATTCTTTTATGACGTAGGTTTGTACATGTGTTTATGTATTCTTTTATGACGTAGGTTTGTACATGTGTTTATCCTCTTTGTTAAATAAAAAGGAATGTTGTAGAATAGCATAGAATAGCATCCGATCTACTACAATAATACCATGACTTTTAATAATAGATACCGGTGCATATTAGCGTCTAGGCAGTTAATACCGTATCTCAACGCTGACTAAATAGGCTATGTATGTCTATTCTTTTAAAAACCTGCAATAAGTCTACAGATTACCATTAACATCCATTTGTCGCTTCGTACCTCTAAGCTCAATGGAAAGACCGGGTTGCATTATTACTGCTTGATCCATTGGTGTGTCCTCATCAACATTAACATCAACATTACCATGAAGTTTAATACCAAGAAATTTGTTCTGGAGTTGTGCCATTGTATTTCCATCCTCCACTAGCTCACCAACATCAACATATCCCATTGGTTGCTCAACGTCGTTCTCTGTTGTCGGATACTCGAATCCTTCGCGAAGCCAAGCTGTATGAATTGGTTCTGCAGAAATCTTCAACAAAGCAACCATCTTTTTCATGTTTAAGAGTAACAAAGATAACTTCAACTGCAAATTATATGTTTGTTTCTTATCCACCAACACAGGAGTACGGTTGTTGTGTTTCTCAAATGTGGAACCAAGGTCTGCAAACAGAGATTCCATCTGCGAGCGGAAACTACCAAAGGTGGTATTATATAACGCTTCTTCCTGTGTAAGTTCCTTGTTCTTCTGTTTACGGTATGGATGAGCGAAATTTTGGACTTTAAGAGTATCAGACTCATCTATAAGCCTCCTTAAGAACTGTGGATACCCTCCATCGAGAGCAATGCAATCCATCTCATGCACTCTCTTGTCCAACTTCATCGTTAGCAGCATTGTTCCATCAGCATTGTTCTTGCAAGATGCAGATTTGGAGACAAATAAAGCCATGCCATTACAATCCATTGCTACCTGTGTGCGTAATCCTGACTTTTTCAGCTTGTAAGAGTACATATCAGCACTACTCTCTCCTTTGTATGTTGCTCTTGTATCATGACCATCAAGATGCAATGTAACATGCTTAAATAATGGAAGATTCTTTTCCTTTGCAGACAAAAGGCGTATTTTAATTGTGGAGAACATTGTTGCAATACAGTTGGTGATGTACTTGTTGTGCAAAGTATATTCTTTCTTATAAAACACAGAGTGCATTGCATGAAAACTACTTTTTGGCATGTGTGGTTCCATTGCTTCCATAGACAGTCCTTTGACAAGATGGTAGAGCATTAAAAGACCTTTCTCCACTTCTTTGTATGGACCAGGATACTTAACCTTTGGCCAGATGTCAACAAGAAAGAAGTACACTGGAATAGGACCAAGGCGTCGATTTAGGGTTTCTTTTATTTCTGGCATATACCCAATTTCCTTGCTTACAGTACGATGATTATTACGTGGTGTAATTGTTGGCCATCCAGCGTTGAGGAAAGTCCAATGGTCATCAAGCAGTTGTTGGAAGTGTTTTGTTAGATCCATAATAATATTTATGTATTGGATTGTCATGACGTTAACCAACAATAACAATTTTTTAAAAAGGCTTATACTTAACTGCATACACAACAGCATGTAGGATGGTATCTATCATACAGCAAGCACATAGTTGAGAATACAAATATATTTTTATATTTTATTCGGTAGCGGCCCCTTCATGTGCAGAGGATATAAAAAGGCATATAAAAAATATCCAAAGTCCAAGGAACGGAGTGTTGACTTCCATAACTGGCATATCTCTTCATAGTGGGCAACAGAACACAGAATAAAATAGCAATAGACAGCACAAGAATTTTTAAAATGTAATCTCTCCCCTGTATTTCACGACAAAGATACAGTTGAGAATACAAGTGCTTTAGATGATCACATACAAGAACTACTCTGGCGAATCTTGCAGTGAGGGTTACAGGTTAATAGTAGATGGACATATTCAAGAGTTTGGTGTGCGAAAAATAAGAAGACTTTGTTGTTTGGAGAATAGGTTGGTGTTTAGTAGGATAGTTAAACAAAAAATGTTACAATGGTTGTCTTATATGCTTGGTATCATACATACACTCTCCTCTAATGGACGCGGTGGATATCGTCAAGATCTGCAGAGATGTAACAAACACCATATGGTAATTTGGACTTGAAAGGCCTCCAATGGTATACTCTTCATCAGGCTCTAAAATTTGGTAGGCTGCAGTATACATCGAAACATGAATAGTTTTCAGATGTAACACATTTGTGTCTACTGTATCTTCATCATATTCGAAGATATCTGCCAGCGGGGCACTATCCTTGTTATGAACGCGCTTTGGCCATGCAATAGAGATGTTGTCAACTTCCACAATTCCAACGTGCCTAAATTTACGAATGACATTAGAAGATGCATCCCTCGAAGGAAACATTCCATTTTGCGAACCAGCAACTAGTGTAATGGCAGTACATCCAGGCTCGCGCTTAAATGTCCTTATTTCGCCCAAAATAACTTCATCTTTCCCATTTACCTCTTCTACATGTCCTTCCACAAAATATATAGGTCTATTGTGAAAGGAAAAGTTAGCCAGCAAAAGTGTAATAAGTTCGGGCTTCTTAAACTCTTTCCACATATATCCGTATTTCTTGGAGGTCACGCAATTCCACCAATGGCAGTAAGCGAAGACTTTCTCTTCTGGAAAATATACAGCCGCCATTGAGGTAATGCATTTTGCTCGCTCCTGCCATTGTGTTTCGAAGGAACATTTAAATGTTTTATACTCCTTTAAGAATTTTTTTGTCTCATCCATTTTATCTTGATATGACTGAAGAGATGTCAAAGATGAACCTTCAAACGTCAGCTCGATACGACTATAACCATGCTTTTTATATTTTTTAACTCGTCGTCCAAATGCTGTTTCTTTTTCCACCAAATCCTCCAAACGTGAACCAAGGCTCTTTCGCACCTCGGCACTTTCCAAAATCTGGACAAATTTGTTATACACCTTATATCTAATATTCTTTCTATCCTCTTCTAAACTTCTCCATGAAATGCAATGATGTCCAACTTTTCCTACATCATCTACAATCTCCGTATTATTACCTTCTTTTAGTAATTTCTCTACATAAAACCGTGTGGTAATATACTTACAATCATAGGCAAAGTCTATATCATGTAAAGCAATGCCGCTCTCGTTCAAGGTAGGCAACATGTTCGCTAAAATTGGCACAACTCTCTTTGCACGGGAACAATCTAAAGAAACCTTGATGGCAATATAACCCTGTTGGTATTCTTTTCCAACAAACAACTTTCTATGGCGTTTGACCATGCGCGTAGAGAAATACTTATCATCCATTTGAACTTGTCTAGCATCCAAAAACTTTATGGATTCTACATCTAAATCCGTGTGGTTAAATGCATCCCGGAGTTCAGCAATGTATTTTCCAATTGCTGTACCTTTTGGAGGCCTTTCAAGTCCAAATTGTAATATAGTATATATTACATCTCTGCAGACCTTGACAATATCTACAGCGACCATTAGAGGAGAGTGTATG